GACATGTTTTGAGGATGAGGGCAATGAATGTACAAATGTGCTTTACACAATTGATGTATGTATGGATTGTGATAAGAGTTGTATGAACCCCTAATAAAACGATCAAAACAAACAAACTCACTGCCACAGAATCAATACCGAGTCACAGGGACCCTATAGAACAGAGTAGAACTACCCCTGTGAGTTTTTGAGACTGTACTTGTTGATGGGAGTAGACAGCCTCATCTTTCTTCCTTGAAGCAGCTGGTGGTTTTGAACTGCTAAACTTAAGGATCACAGCCCAATTGGATACAGATAATTAATACCTTCTATTCTTAAGACAAGGAGTCCTGGTGACACAGTTGTTAAAGAGCTTACCTGTTAAGTGAAAGGGCATAGGTTGAAACATACCAGCAGCTCCACTAGATAAAGATGTGACAGTCTGCTTCCAATAAGATTTATAACTTTGGGAACCCTACAGGTCAGCTGCACTCTGTCCTTAGGGTCATTATGAGTCAGAATCAACTCCAAGGTTGTGGACTTGGGTTTCATGAAACAGTGGTATTGGTTAACTAGGTAATATTTGTCTATCTAATGTGTTTCAACCAGATGTAATTTTAATTATATTTAACAGATTTTATTTTTTTAAAAACAAGTATTTTTTACTCTCATAATGTCCTGTCTTGTTCAGTGAGCAAAGAGAAACTAGATTTACTTAGGTTTTGCGCACTAGAAAAATGAACCTTGCTTTTATAAAAACACAAGATTTTTCTGGAAAGCCTTCTCTAATACGAGTGAGAGCCTGAGCTCCTACAGACAAGAATGGTACTTGTTTGACTTTCTGGGTTCCTCCAGAAGCAGATTAGGCCTGGATTTGGTTGGGTTAGATGGCTGTTTACAAATCTTACAAGGGAAATAACTTTAGCCTGTCATTTGAAAATATAAAGAGCTTACACATCTCCATAAAACATACAGGAAATTAATTCTAACCACACGACAGCTGATCTTGAACAGAGGACTTCAGCAATCCTCCATTTGTCCCCCCTCCCCCTATGAAATGAGACCATGAAGTATGTTTCATCAGTCTGTTTTAACCAAGTGCCCCCGCCCCCGCCCCGCCCCGCCCCGCCCATTATGAATTGCAGACCTCGGAAATGGAGTTGGAACCGATGAATGTTAGAAGATTTATCTGTTTAAAAATCATTCCCATTACCAGGAGTAAACCTAAATCTACCGGGTGGAAACTCAGAATCGAGATATTGATCAAACAGGATGGATCTTCTTTTCGGCAAGCCTGAACCAAAATCCTTGCCCATCTGCTTCAGCGGCGCTGGTATTTAAATACTAAATTAAATACTGCATCCCCTAGAACCCGCCAAATCCCGTTAGACTCCACTCCCGCAGCCCCGCGCGCATTGGCGCCCCGCGGCCTTTGCAGCCCCCGTTAGCTGGGTGACTTTGTTATAAAGTCCCTGCTTCCCGGCTGGCCTCTGCAGTCCCCCAGATCTCACCAGGTTCCTTAACGCCGCCGCAAACGTCTTGGGCTGGCCTTCACGCGTTCAGGACCGCCCCTTCCTCCCCAGTATTTGATTGGCCAGACTGCGTTCCTCTGCGTCATTTATCCGCGCCACCCGGAAGGAAGCCGCGGTTCATACCAACGAGCTGTTCTGGTTCCTGGCGACTTTATGGTAAGGGCCGCACTTGCATGTCTCTGTGTAGCCGGCTCCCGGAGTCGGGAGGGGCGAAAGGGGAAACTCCCAGCGCAGCTCAGCCGAGCCTATGCTCAACTTTGGGAAGGTGGACATGTACTGCGCATGAGGCCAACCTGGCGTGGTCAACATGGCCTGCCCCCTCCCTACTCCTTAGGAGCTCGTCATGACGACGCCCCCTAAACGGCGGGCGGTAGAGGCCACGAGTGAGAAAGTGCTGCGCTATGAGACCTTCATCAGTGACGTGCTTCAGCGGGACCTGCGGTGAGCGCTGGCGCGCGGGGAGGGTGTTTTGTTACCTTCCACGTGGTGGGCGGGAGGGTTGCGGTCAGGGCCCAGCCTTCTGATTGGTGGGTGGAGCGTTCCCGCGTCCTTTTTGATCAGGAAGGAGGAGCAACATCGGGGTGCGATTTGACTGGGACATGGCAGACTGGAGGACGTGTGTGCGCATGCGCAGTCTGCAGTGCCCCCCTAACAGGCGCTAGGTTGGTTGCCTGAGTCAGTTTTTTTCAGGTTCAAATTCCTGTTTGACTGGTCACCTATGTAAACAAACCCTTACCTCGCCTCGTTGTTTCATTTTCCCCATCTATGATATGGGGACGTCAGTGGAACCTATGTCATACGGTGTTTTTGAGTTTCAGTGTATTCAAGACGTATACAAAATGTAATGTAGCCATCAGAAACAGTAGAGGCTCAATAAGTATGCAGGATAATCAGTCACTACTAATATGAGTGAGAAGTAGGGCGTGCAGAACTAGGACTATGAGCTATAAAAGGTCTGGAGGGTTTTTCTTGGTTGAGAATAGGGCATTCTGATTGGACAGTAGCATTGAGAGTAGAGTGCAATATTAATAACACATAATAGCTAACATATATAGGAGTAAGCTCATATGGCTTACTATTTGGCAGAGACTAATCTAGGCACTTTATTTATTTAATCCTAATGACTCCGGGATCATATTGCCATTATCCATATTTTACTGATAGGACAACTGAGTCCCAGAGAGGTTACTTATTTGCCAAGGTCACATAGCTAATAAAGGAGAGAGAGCCTAGATTCAGAACCAGGTAGTCTGATTATGGAGTTCAAAAATCTTAACTTCACCATGAAAAAGCCTCTTCAGGGCATGGTGACATGAGGGCCTCATTGGGTCATGAGGGACAGGCTGACCCATTGGTCACCATTGGACTTTCACTCCATCAGAAAGGTGCTGGACCATCGTGACAAGGTATATGAGCAGTTGGCCAAGTACCTTCAACTGAGAAACATCATTGAGCGGCTCCAGGTAAAAACACCAGGTTGGGTGCTTTTTTGGTGGGCAAGGGAGGAAGACAGGAAGAAACCCTGACAGAAACCTGTTACCAGACCTAAATTCTGAGCACTGACCCCACCTCTTTCTCCCAGGCCCCACAGGAAGCTAAGCACTCGGAGTTATATATGCAGGTGGATTTGGGCTGTAACTTCTTCGTTGACACAGTGGTGTGAGTACCCCCCTGAGCCCACAGGGTTCAGCTTCCCCCTTCTGTTATTCACCACGTATCTTGAGAGCATCTACTGTATACCAGACACTGCTGGGTGCTGGAGATGTGACAGTAAATAAAATAGGACAAGGCCCCTGCCTTTCCTAGAGTCTCAATTTGAAGAAAATTGGGGAGGGGGAGAATCTAAAAAACACTGGAAATAAAACTGTATGGTATACTACTTGGTGATGAGATTTATCCCTGACTTCCTTTAACTGTTCTTTCTTCAGCTCAGACACTTCCCGGATCTACGTGGCCCTTGGGTATGGTTTTTTCCTGGAGCTGACACTGACAGAAGCTCTCAAGTTTATTGATCGGAAGAGCTGTCTCCTCACAGAGTAAGTCATTCCATGGGGATCATATTTAAATCACCACCTTTATCAATTCCCATCTCACTCTCCCCATGGCTGCCTGCGATGAGACTCGGGGCCCCATCGGCCTTCCTCCTCAGCCTCGGGCACAGCACATAAGTGCTCAATAAGTAGTCTTTTTATCATGCATCAGAAAGCCTTTAGTGGACATGTATGGTACGCCAGACACTTCAGCAGTGATCAAGAGAGAAGGGTTCTATGGGATGTCACAGATGCAAATTAGATTGTTACGTATATATGAGTACAGTTATATACACTGTGCGGTCTCATTAGCTTGTGAGTCAGTTACAGTAAAACAAGTTACCTCTGACTTTGCCTCCTGCTCATTCACTATGCTCTTATCACACTGACCTACACACATCTCATCAAACACCCCAGGAGCGATCTCACTTTGAGGTTGCCCCGACTGCTCTCTCTGCGTGCATTGCTCTTTGCCCACATACCTGTGTCTTGTTTGTGTGTCACTTCCTCAACGAGACCTTCCTTAACCTCACTTTAGAATCGAAACCCCTGGCACTCAGGATTCCCCTCCCTTGTTCCCCCGCCTGCCCCCATTTACCACTTGTGTGTAATTTACTTTTTTCAGTGTTCATTGTCTCTTCCTGTGAAGCTATAAGCTCTACAAAGTCTACCCCAGGTTCCTAGAATGCCTTCCTTCTTCCATCAAGTGATTCCAATGCATAGGGACCCTATGGGACAGAATAGAACTGCCCCTCTGGGTTTCTGAGACTTGCGGTCTCTACAGGAGCAGACAGCCTCACCATTATCCCATGGAGTGACTGGTGGGCTTGAACCTCTGACTTCAGTTAGCAGTTCAGTGTGTAAGCCACTCTGCTACCATGGGTTCAGTGCCTAGAACAGTGCATAGCATATAATGGGCACTGAGTGTTTATTGAGTGGATTACAAATGGTATGCTGGAAGCAGATTGAAGTGGGATTCTAGGTCGGTAGTGATGGGAAGAAAATGTCGACTCCAGTGAGTTTGTTTGGTGTGAGGTCAAAGAGGAAACAGCACGGGGCAATTAGAGAAATGGGGTTGGTGTTGACATGCATATTTGAGAGTGCAGGTGGGGTTTAAATCTGCAGCAATAGATGAACTTGCCTCTCAAGAGAACATAGTGAGGGGCAAGGAGTAAGACTTGGGGTTTTCTCCAATGTGAAAGTGAGCCAAAAATACTCGAAGCTCCAGCAGCGTGGAAAGAGGAGTCAACAGCCTTTAATCGGCTTGAGAAGCCAATAAAGAAGGGCACCAGCTGTGTGGTCTGGGTAAGTGACTTAGCTTCTGGAGGTCTGCTTTCTGGCTTGGAAAGCAAGGCTCATAACAGCCCACTTAGCAGGCATGTTATGAGCATTAAGTGAGTTAATACAAGCAAAGTGCTTAGGACAGTGCCTGACACATGGTAAAAGTTAAATGTGAACACCTGCTAGGGGGTTTTTTGGGGGGTGGGAGTGGTTTTTAAGTGATGGGGAGGTAGGCCATTATTGAATCTAGAAGCTAGAGTGCTTTTAATGTATGGGGAAATTTTCAAGAGTACAAAAGAAAATACTAAACTAAACCCCAAGTACCCATCACCCAAGAGAGGACCCTGAAGACACAATGGTTAAAGTGCTCAGCTGCCAACTGAAAAGTAGGTAATAGGGACCCCCCAGCTGCCCTGCAGGAAAAAGATGGACAGCCAGTGTCTGAAGATTGACACTCTCAGAGACCCTGTGTGGGCAGTTCTACTCTGCTCTGGGGTTTGCTCTGAGTCAGAATCGACTCAATGACAGTGGGTACTGATCACACACATCAAACAGTAATCCACATTCTCTCATTCTTCTTTCATCCAAAAAGAAAGTTTTTTTCTCTTTGTTGCAATATTTCTAGACCTTATCATTTTACTGTAAATATTTCAGCAGGCAAATACAGATGTTTTTTGTTTTGTTTTTAACAAGCACAGTATGCCTTAATGTCATCTACTACCCAGGCTCAGGTCATATTTCATTGTCTTGTTTTACAGTGCAAAGTATGAACTTGCTTGTGTCCTGAGCGTAGGGAAGTGGTGGAAAAAGCTATACAAGATATTCCCAGGACATTTTAAGATGGTCTGCATGTCATTTGATATTATTGAATTATCTTGGGTGTACTAGTGGTATTTTGCTCATGTAGGAGAATGAACTTATATTTAGCAAGTGTACACAGGAGTAAAGCCATACATGCATGCATGCATGCATGGTAAAGCGTCATAATACCTGCACCTCTCAAATGGTCCAGCACCAAACGTGTATTTGGAGAAAAGAGAAAAAGCAAAATGCTAACAATCTGGGAATCTAGGCAAGGGGTTTACAGATGTTCGTTGTACCATGTGTTCATGTTTGCCATAAGATTGAAAATTTTCAAATTAAGCCAAGATTTAAGACTTCTTTTTAGAGCTGCGTTGTTCAAATCAAGATCCAGGCAAGGTTCATACAAGGTTGATACACTTCTCAAGTCTCTCTTGATCTAACTCCATTTCCAGAGGTAAGAACTGTTGTGATGGCTTTATAAACCAGATGGAGCATAGATTGACTTTTATTGCCCCACAAGTTTAAGTGTGAATTGAAAGACAAAAAGATATGTAGTAGGGGGGAGAATTGAGTAAGGGAAGTGTTCATTTTTCAAATGGGAGAGATTTCTGTATTTTTCTTGGATGTTGAAAGTGGTTTGATAATGATAAAAATAAAGATAGCAAACGCTTACAGAGCATTTACCATGTACCAGGCACTGTTCTAATCATGTATTTAAATGCCTGTATTTTCGCTCATTTAATCCTCACAAAAACCCTCTGAAGAAGATCCTTCCATTGCCCCATTTTACAGAGGAGGAAACTGAGGCCCAGAAAGGTTAGAAGTACAGGTAGGATTTGAACCTATGCAGTCTAGCTTTAGAATTTGTTCGTGAGTGAATTGATGAATTTTTTTCTTTAATGTCTGAGATTCTTTGTGCTTGGAAAGAAATATTTAGCATTGTTTGTGTTTTGTGCTGTTACTTATGAAGTTTAAGGATTTATTAATCATTCAATCTGCTACTGCATGGTAACATTTGTAACAAAAATATTTTTTGTTTGTTTTTTTCAAAAATATTTTTAAACAAAGGAAATAGAGGAAAGAACTAGGAAGCAAAGGGCATTTATAGAGGTCTAACTACAGGCATGTATATATGTAAATATATTTATATATGATGATGGGGAAATAGATCTATGTGCATATATTTATAGATTTAGTATTAAGGTAGCTGATGGACATTGGGCCTCCACTCAAGTACTCCCTCAATGCAAAAACACTTTGTGCTGGTAAACTGGCATTCCATGATGCTCACCTTCCCAAAACGATCGCCGAAGACAATGGGTGCATAAGCAAATGTGGTGAAGAAAGCTGATGGTGCCCGGCTATCAAAAGATACAGTGTCTGGGGTCTTAAAAGGCTTGAAGGTAAACAAGTGGCCATCTAGCTCAGAAGCAACAAAGCCCATATAGAAGAAGCACACCAGCCTGTGTGATCACGAGGTGTCGAAGGGATCAGGTATCCGGCATCAAAGAACAAAAAATCATATAATTGCGAATGAGGGGAAGTGCAGAGTGGGGACCCAAGACCCATCTGTAGGCAACTGGACATCCCCTTACAGAAGGGTTGCAGAGGAGAAGAGCCAATCCGGGTACAGTGTAGCATCGATGAAACATACAACTTTCCTCTAGTTCTTAAATGCTTCCAATCCCTCCACTATCATGATCCCAATTCTACCTTACAAATCCAGCTAGACCAGAGCATGTACATGAGTACAGATAGAAACACAGAATCTAGGACAAACCCCTTAGGACCAATATTGAGAGTAGTGATCCCGGGAGAGTGGAGGGAAGGTGGGGGGAGAAAGGGGAAGCCAATCACAATGATCTACATATAACCTCCTCCTAGGGGAGGGTGGACGGACAACAGAAAAGTGGGTGAAGGGAGACATTGATCAGTGTAAGACATGAAAAATAATAATGATTTATTAATTATCAAGGGGGGGGGATAGGAGCTGATACCAAGGGCTCAAGTAGAAAAAAAATGTTTTGAAAATAATGATGGCAAAAAATGTACAAATGTGCTTGACACAATGGATATATGTATGGATTGTGGTAAGAGTTGTACAAACCCCCAATAAAATGATTAAAAAAACAATAAAAGGAAAAAAGGCTACAATGTTCCCATTTAACATTTAGTGGTTTAATTAACTCAAATACTGTTAAGTATTTACTGAGAATCTTGTATAGCATCCAGTTCAACCTTTAAAAAGCAAAGTGTTCCATAACTTGAAAATTAATTCATTTATTATTTAAATATATGAATATTCGAGGGCTCAGCACTACCTTAAAGCAAAACAAAATCCCTTTCCTTGTGGAACCTATATTCTAGTAGCAGAAACCGACAATAAACAAGATACTTCAGTAAACTTTCAGCATGTCAGGTGGTACAAGTGCTAAGGAGAAAGTCAAGCAGGGGAGGGAAATTCCAAGTGTGGATGTGGGTTTGAAATGTAGCTATGGAAGACCTCTCGGAGACAGTGATCTTCAAGTCACTTGACTGAATGGACAAGCCATGGGGCTCTCTGGGGAAGAGCATTCCTGCCAGGAGGAACAATACACCTGGCGTGTTAGAGAAACTGCCAAAGAGACTGGCAAGCCTGGGATGGAGTGACTAAGGGGACACTGACTAGTGACAGTTTGGTAAGCATTGGACTGATAACGACAAGGTTGGCAGTTCAAACCTACCTGGAGCTCCATGAGGCAAACCTGAGGCTATCTGCTCCCATAAAATCTACAGCCTTGGAAACCCTATCTGAGTCACTCCCCTCAACGTTAAGGCTTAAAGGATTGCCAGGGGTTGTAATCAGCTTGATAGCAATGTGTTTGTTTATTTGTTTGTTTTTAATGGTGCAATGGTTAAAGGCTGCTAAGGTGGACCCACCA